GAGAGTGTGTTTCATGATTCTCTTTTTTACCCACAAGACACATATTATCCGTTAAGCATCTGTGATTGGCAACTCGTGCCTCCCTGGAGATTTTCCAACGGACTCCTGAAAACAAAAACACGAGTAGATGATGAAGATGAAATTATCAACGGATAATTAGACTTCTAGTTAAGTTTTTGGTTTTTGAAAATCAAAAACCATTATATTTTCCAGGATGTATATTAAACTAAATTAACTCAGGCAAAAGTTAAAACTTAAAACCCTTTAAGAGAATTTAGAGTTTCAGAAGTTTGAGATCTTTTTTCGAACAGATTTGCATCAAAAACTTCGGTTATAGCACCAGAAAATGAAGAAACGGTCACAATGTCAAAAATCAAAACCCTAAAAAGATAGCAAATTTCACCTTTTGCTGCCTCTCTCATCATTATCGTAAACCAGTTTTATTATGAGACCTGAATACAGAACAAAACATACTCCAGTTTGAGTTTTCCAAAAGGCTTGTCGTATTCACAACTCTGTTCAGACCTAAAGAGTTTACTTTAAAAAAAAAAAAAAACCCTTTCATGAAAACTTGAACTGTAGTATGTTACTTTTTCTTCAGGTAACATACTTCCAGTTTTCATGAAAGGGTTTTTTTCTTATTAACCACACTCTGTTCAGACATAAAGAAGTTACTTTGTGACCAAGTAACTTAGCTTTAAACAAATTTTTCAATGAAACTAAAGGACTTCTTTAACAAACAAAAACATGTTTACAAAGTACTACGAAAAAAGCTTGGGACCCAAGACACAACCATGACACCAACTAACCAATCACACAGAATTAAAAGAATTTTGTTTCTGAGAACACAAGAACATCATCGAATGAGAGTGCAACATTGGAAGCCGAAACATCTTCTTTCTCCTTATTTCCAATCAGCGACTTTTTTTTGTTCTAAATGTTAAGGTTTATAATCAGCGACTTTCAGAAATAGAGACAATTATTTAATAAGCGTAATCCCCTTGGGATAGGCTAGAAGACGCCTGCAAGCAAAATAAACCATTGGAAATATAATAGATGTCCTTGTAAACCTAAATTCTAATAAAACATAAGAGTTTGTTTTCTTACCATTTTCAGTGACCGACCACGAATATATCGGAACAGATTTTCGCAGATTGCAAAGAGGAGAGGATCTTAATTTCTTAATCACCCAAGTGAACTTGAAGACAAAAGAGCCGAGTGTCAAACACCCAAATTCAGAAACAAGTTTACAAAATTTACAAGTGATACACTAATATACATTTCATTAAATCGATTTAATTATTCTATGTAATAGGATTACAACTTGGGGTGCCATACATATATAATACTTAGAAGCTAGCCTATAAAATAAAAATACTTACCATATTATAACCCATAACAAATTAAAATTGAACTTGATGCTATCACATTTTATTTTACTTTTTTCCTGTTTCTAACAGATTAATTTTATAGATTATATTTACTGCACTTAATTATACAAAATTAATTAGAAACTTTTTTGGCAAAGAAATTAAAAAGTCAAGTTTCACATAAATTAACTTGACCAATTTTGTTTTTATTGATAGTCAACATTTCATCTTCTGTGTTTCTTGTGTTAATTTTTTTTCCTTTCTCTAAAAATTAAATGCACATTAAATAAATTAAAAAAAAAAAATCAAAACATCATTAGTAAAAGTGAACGTTTAATCTTTTTTGATATGTGTGAAAAAATCAATCTATTAGAGATTATATCTTACAAAATGGACAAGGGGTTTTGTTTTCATAAAGAAAGTTCTTTCTGCTACATTTATCAAGAAATCTGTAATAACGAGCAGGGATATGCGTACAGCTGTGACACAAGAGTGACTTGATAAATATTAGAGTCAATTATGCATAAAGACATCATGCAAGAGATCTGAAACCTCAGGCATGCATTATCATAATTTATAAAACCAGTTTTTTCTTATGAGACCTGAAAAAAGAACTTAACATAATGCAGTTTGAGTTTTCAAAAAAGATTCTTATTCACAACTCTGTTCAAACATATAAGAGTTTACTTTTTCATCAAGTAACATACTACAATTTCCAGTTTTCAAGAAAGGGTTTTTTTTTTTCCTATCAACCACTGTCGTGCTCACGAAGAAGTTACTTCGTTATCCATTTACCAAAAAATCCGCCATCTTCGGCAAGAAGTTTGGAAGGAGGGCTCATATATCGAGCTTTGATGCAAAGACTAAAACCAAATAAGAATTGAGTAAATAACTCTTTTTTTTTTTTCTCTAGCAAGATCCTTTTATGAGTTTCAGACAAACAATTCGAAAATAGGGTACTCTGTTTCTCACACAAATCTTCACCTTGTTTTTTGACCATCTCATCTACGACACTCAAGTTTCCAATCTCCTTACCTGACTCAGAGCCTGCCCGGAGCTAAAGCTGCTAAAGCCTTAGCTTTAGGCGCCATATTTAGTATAAATATTAGGGGCAGCGAATTTTACTAAAAATACTTCATAGTCTAGTGGTTACTCCATCTTTCTTTTGTCAATCAACCCAAGTTCATCTTACCACATGTATTTTATATGTAAATTTTTTTTCTTGCTTTAGGCGACAATTACATTTGGGCCGGCCAATACCTGTGAATCCTTTACTTGAGACTTATTCTGAGATATCAAAAGAAGTGATTCACCTACAATGTTACAAGAATCCTTGCAAATCACCAAACAACATTGTTGAACGTAAGTCCCATTGGCTTGACCACGGCTCTTCAAGTCCCACTCACTTTATGCACAAAGAGATTACTTTATCATAAAGATTCATAAGCAAGCGACTCAAATGACAAACTTTCTACATATGGGTATTTCTCATTTCGAAAATATAGTCAATGAACTCTTCAAGATCCTTTGTTTCATGCAATTTAGTTGTTTTTTTTTTCGATAAAGGAAAACAATAACTATGTGGTAGCTGAAACTTTGATAGACCATCAAAGCAATATACTTAACCAAAAAAGTACCACACAAGTTCAATTACCCTACAAGAGGACCTCTTGTTTTGAAAGCAATGGAGAAACTAAGTCACCAAAAAAACCAAATCCCTAAAAACTGAAATCATCAAACAAGATCATCGAAAGACAGAGCAATTCTAGTGGCTGACAACTCTGACTTCTCCAACTCTGCAAGAGCATTCAGTTTCATTAGATTTTCCTCTATTTCTTGTAGCCGGGCCAAGCCAGACCGCTCTTTCTCTTTGTTTTCCTTTAGTTGGTCCAGCTTCTCCTCCAACCAGCCCACACTAAAGCCAGCATCCTTCAAGTATGTCAGCGCAATGTCTACTTCCACAAGATCTTCATTGGAGAGCTCATCAAGTGACTGGCACAACGTCTCTATTAAGCCGAGTAGGAAATTCATACACTCCTTTTTCAGACGTTGGTTCTTTGCGCGGAACTCCACAGCAATGTCCGGATGTCTTTCGAATATACGCCTCACAGATTCTACCTGCGAGTGGAAAAAAGATGTACAAAGCATATAAGAGAGAGTATTCTTTGGAGATTTGGAAACAGACCGAACATATATAGCTTTCTCTCTAATAACAAATAGAAGATGAATCATGTTTTTAGCTGAGAAGAAAAAACCTCAAACCCATTGACATCCATTGTTTCTTTTGCAGGTTGAATCTCCTCAAGCACACTATTAGAAGTCTCAGTATCAGATGGCTCAGTGTAAAACCCCCAATCACCATTTCTACGTCCTCCTCCAAGACTTGACTTGGTCTAGAGAACTTCCGTTTCTAGCGTTATCACTCGTAACAAGAGATGCACCATCACTTTCACCATTGGAAACTCAGTCTCAGCTGCCACACTGTTACGTTTTTATTCGGTCGTATGAGAACCGTTCTCCAATGCATTCGGAGTTATGTCCCTACCTCCATCATCTGAAACAGGAGATGAATCGTCATCATCATCATCATCATCAGACGAGGTGTCATCATCATCCTTACCGTCTTCAGATGCATCATCATCATCATCATCATAATCATCATCATCATCATATCATCATCATCATCACCATCATCATCACCATCATCATCACCATCAGAACCCTCTTCAGACGACGTGTCATCATCATCCGTACCCTCTTCAGATGCATCATCATCATCATCATCATTATCATCATCATCATCATCATCATCATTATCATCATCAGCAGAAACAGTAGCAGCAACAGCAGCAGTAATAACAACAGAAGCTTGATTTCCTTCTTTGCAACTCAAACATGTAGTAATCTTCATAGGTGGAAGTTCTTGTATATCAAGGATGATAAAGAGTCGTCTGTTATGGTCAAGAAACCCTCCACTCTCAAGTATGTGAAGGGGCAAGAACTTAGACCATGTCCATCAGGGGTTTATCTCGGGTTCATGGCCTAGTATCATAGGCAAAACTGAATAAAAAAAAAAATGCCCATATTGGATGAACCGGTTCATCCGGACGATCTTGAAAAGCCCGGCTATTTCCACGTGGAAGCACCTGATTAGGCGAGAAGACATGGTAATTTTGAGGGACACAATTTTTTTTTCGACCAAAATCATTTTCATCCCATCGCCGACTCTCTTCTCTCTTTCTCTTCTCCGATAATTCTCAATCAATCCAAGATTCCGACAAATTACCCGGTCGAGTTGTAATCCAAGCATCGTAAGAAGATTCACGAAGAAATTGACAGAAGAGGAAGAAGAGACATGAAGGAGAGAGATAGTAACAAGCGTGATGAGAATAATGAGCACGAGATTGCCTCAGAGAGATCTAATTTCACTCCTTCTAGTTAGCCCTTGGCTCAATCGCACCCTTGTCTCCTACCCTTCCATCTGGCTGGTAAACAAAACTTGATTGCTTCTTAGGTCTTTTCAAGTTTCCAAATTTTTGTTTTCAAATATTAATCTGATACCAGTTTTGATTGCTCTCTTTCAGAACATCGATTTGCGCAAGATGACCAATGCAGGGGATCAGCTTTTAGCTGCTATGTCCTTGGTTAGTGAAAACTCAAACTTTGATACTTAATTGTGCTGGAATTCATGGGATTTATATCTTGTTGTGAGTGTTGGGAATGTTTGAGCAGAAGTGACTCACCGTGCTTCCAATTTTGTAGTCAAGATATCGTCAAGTGAAGCATATCAATCTTGAATTTGCTCAGGGTATTGAGGACAGTCATCTTAAACTTGTGAAATGGAAATATATGTTGTCCCCTGAATTGATGTCTATATCACATTTCTGAGAGTGCATATTCACATTTTGATGAATCTCTCTTTGAGTTCACCAATGGAACACAAAATATAGCACAAGTTTTTCAATAAATTCAAAACCAAAAAAGAATCTTATTTTATTTTGGTGAACCCCGAAATCAAAGAGGGGTTCACTAATGGACATGCTCTTAGAAAAACCCCAACTGTTACTCTCTACATGGAAACATCATTCCTGTCCTATTATGTCCAAAAAAACAAAAACAAAAAACAGGAGAAAAAAAAAATTGTTTCATCAAGTGATCTTAAGGATAAAGAGATTCACAAACAAACCAAAAAAGAAAATCACAGAAACCAAAAGATAGGAACGAATCAACACACATAGCACCAATCACAATCCTAAGAAAGAAACAAATTTTTAAACCAAGCAAGAAGAAAACAATTACCTCGTACTTTGTTCATGAATTCATAATTATCCACAAGAGTGAAGGTAGCTCGCACTTGTCTTTTCCATCCTGGTGGTGGAGATCCAGGAGCAAGTTCCAGATATAGGGCTAAGTATTCATCATCATTACCATCTTCTTCACTGACATAAGCTTTAAGACGCCTGTACAAAACCAAGTCCATCTAAAATCAAGATTCCATGAAAAATAAACGACCCGAAAAGAAAAAGATGTTTGTAATTGTTTTTCTCTCTTTTACCAGTTGCAACCGGCGACGACGAAGTTGCGAGAGTAGTAGGTCTCACCATCAGAAGCACATAAACTTTCCAAAATCCAATGGAATCTCTCAACTGGAAAACCAATATTCAATTTCATGATGGAAAGTTATGGATCGACAGAGCACGAAGAGGTGCAAAGGAGCAAATAAAAACCCTTTATTGGTAGGGTTTATCAATAATAGCTTGGTTTCATCATACTCCTCATATTTATTTATAATGCTATGTTTTAGTTTAACCAAACCATATTTCAGTTTAATTTTGTTTACTAAACAAAAAAGAAAAACGAAAAATAGAAATTTCTATTAAAATACAAACTTAATATAGAGAAAGAGGAAAAAGTCAAAATCTAAAAATTCAGAAAAATTAATAAAAATAGAAATAACTCTAAAGAAGTTAAATCTACTAAACAGAAATAAAAAGAGAAATTAAATTTATCGGCAAATGTTAGGGCATCTCTAACCCTGAACCTCATGTTGAGGTTCATAACATTATTTTAGTAATTTTTTTTTAATAATGAATAGTGAAGAACCCATGTTTTTTATTCTCCTCCATCCCTAAACCTCATTAAAGGTCCTTTAAAATAAGATAATGCAGTCTTCTTCAAAGTAGCAGCAACTAAAAACAATACAGACTTTAAAGAAGCAGCAAACATGAAGGGATAGGTATGAGTAGAGACTGATGGTCTTCAACGATAAGTTTACAGTATCATTGAAAGTAAACTCTTAACAAATTCTAACACAAAGCTTTACAAACTCTAACACAAAGTTTAACACAACGTGTCAACGTCTAACACAAAGCTTTACACTTAATAGACTATGGGTTTTAACACAAAGATAACACAAAGCGTGTGATCAAGAACTACCTGTAGAAACCATCTTGAACTCGCCTTCGCACACCAAAACGCCACCCACATAAGCTTTACCTTCCATCTTAGCAAGCCCGAACCGTTTCTGGAACTTGAGAAGAGTCATCCTCATGACGAGTGTGCCTCCTGCAATGAGCAATCATAAACCTGTTTTATACAGTGAAGCTATAGATATTACATGGTGACTAACTGTCTATATTAGTATACAAACTCTTTAAGAATGCTTTTAAAGCCTGAAAAGTTTCAGCAAAACATATGGAAACATCCAATGCATCAAACCGAATTCTTGGTTACCATCAACATCATTACAAGTATATAGGTTCTTACTCTAAAATCTGTGTCCTGATGAAACATCAGTCTCATGTCTGTCACAACTCTGCAGTTATCAATACCCGCAAAGAAAAAGTTATCCCGGGAGCCTCTTACTTCTGCCTGCAGCATTACCAAGCAGCATTGTAAATCCCTCTAAACTCTATATATCAAGATCAAAAAAAGACCATTGATTTTACCAATCGGATAGAGTTCTCACACACTAATTTATCAGGATTATGAATCCAAAACCAACATCAAAACTAGCAGGTCATTAACTTCTTGTCATTGTTACATTACATCATTTTTTACAAGTACACAATCAAAACCACATAGAGAATCAAAAGAGAATCAAAACCAGAGAGATCGATAAATTTCAAGTTGTAAATGTTCACAAGAATATCAGAGAGATCGATAAATTTCTTACTGGGTTCGATTGGGGTGTCTTTTTCGGATGAGATGTTATCGCCATTGTTGGAACAACGAAGCGCGAGGGAATTGGATCACTTGTTGGGTAGGAGAGAAACAGAATGAAATCTGGAGGATGAGAAGAGATGGAGAGGTGTTCTGGGTATTGGCCGACGAATTTCCAGTCGGCGATTTCGTCGATGAATTTCCAGTCGGCGATTTCGTCGACTACGGTGATGAGAAGAAAAGTCGAGTGTGTTATGTCTTTGGTCGAAAAATGACCCCAAAAATTTTTGTTCCCATTAAATCCAAACACCAATCATAATATGTCACGTACCCGATACCCGATGATACTCGGTTGATACGGGTTCATCAGTATCACTGCAGTTATACTGTATCACTGAAAATGGGCTGTTTTTAATTATTTTTAATCCGAAAAAATCATCCGGACCCACCTATGATACTCCTTTGAACCCGCGATGGAGATGACCTTAATAAAAATAAAATAATAATAATAAACATAATACAAATAGGGATATGAAAAACTAAATATTTGGAAACATGAATTCGAATGTGACAAAATTAAATTAGAAATCATATAATAGGAAAAAAAATATATAAAAATTAAAAATATAATTAATTGTTACTTTTTTAGGCTTCTTTATCTGTGAATGATTTCATATGGACTTTCGCAATCTAAATGTAGCTGAAATTATCGAAGTGTAACTGGCTTTATAACGATGTCAAAAAAAAAAAAAATGGCCTTATAACCGAATCAAACCAAATTAACATAAGTTGAGTTCGGCTAGAGTTTTATCAATTCAAATCTGAATAAACTATACCGAACCGGTCCCAAACTCAATTTTGAAGTTACCCTTACTCTTTAGATTGGTTTTCTCACTTCCGGTTCGATTTAGTCACACAACAACAAAGCCAATTAAATGATGGGCCTGAAAAGATAAGGTAGGCCCATGTGTTAAGATCCAAATTGGTGTAGGCAAAAGGTGTTAATTGAGGAAGAAGAAAGAAAAATTGCAGCTTTCTTCTTCTACTTCGCTTTTATTTTTTTCCTTCTTCTCTGACACTCCAGCTTCCTTCTTCTCGCAAATCGTCAAATCAAAGGTAAATCACTACTCTGTAAACTTGGGTTTTCTCTTCGTCTTCTTCATTCTCTATAAATCTCTCGTTTCCGTGGATTCTCTCAACTCGATGTCGGTGATTCCAACACGATTAACCCATCCTCTAGCTTACTCGATCCGGACGATTTGATTTGATTTTTACTTCACGGGTTTTCAAAATACGCGATTCTGATGTTTCTCAAATTTTTGTGATTTCTAGTAGAGTGGTGAATCGGAAAATGACGCAGTCCTCCGTCGATTTACCGCCAAAAGGTGGGTTCAGCTTCGATCTGTGCAAAAGGAATGATATGCTTAAACAGAAGGGTCTCAAAGCCCCAGGGTTTCTGAAGACTGGAACAACTATCGTTGGTTTGATTTTCCAGGTCTGTGTTTGTTTCTCTCACATACTCTGAAATTTATGGGCTTTGAAGTTTCTTTGATAGCTTTTTGTGTTTTAGCGTAGTGTAGTTGTTGAATAGTAAGTTATCTCCTATGGTCCTTTGCAAATTATGGAAGTGAAAAAAGTGACTCAAGATTAAGATGCTAATGTATAATTAGTTATGCAAGAAGTTGGTGTTTAAGTTCTAGTGCTTTGATATACCACAAAGAGAGGTTTTTTCGATTGAAATTGTGGAGCCTGGTTTGTATGATAAGCGCTTCTCAGGGAGAGGTTTATTTTAATTGTATTCCTCTTAACTATTGTGAAATCTTTTGGTGGGAACATGAAAGTAGGAATTGTTGTTGCTTTCTGTTAGCACTTTGCCTCTCTCTATTCCACTGGATGAATTATGCGATTCTGTGTGCGCACGTACCTGTGTTCTTGATGTTCTCTTTCAGATTCTCAATAGATGTTTGGTCTGATTTCATATATTTGTTTGTATAGGATGGTGTGATACTTGGAGCTGATACACGGGCAACTGAAGGGCCCATTGTGGCTGATAAGAACTGTGAGAAGATTCACTATATGGCACCAAACATTTACTGTTGTGGTGCAGGAACCGCTGCTGACACCGAAGCAGTAACTGGTAATTCTTAACAACCAAATTTCTATACTGCTGAGCCAAATCAAAGTTAGGTTTCTTTGAAATTCTGTTTACTCAATCAAAACCCAATGCTTAAAATATTTTGATTTCTATCTCACTGTTCAGATATGGTCAGCTCACAGTTGCGGTTACATAGGTTCCAGACTGGCCGAGACTCTCGGGTCATTACTGCTTTGACCCTTCTCAAGAAACACCTTTTCAGGTATTCTTGTTTTATCATGACCAGAAACTGGTGTTATCTTTACTAAGAGAGGCATATGTAATCTAACCGCTCAAGTATCATTCAGCTATCAAGGCCATGTCTCAGCTGCTCTTGTGCTTGGTGGAGTTGATATCACCGGGCCTCATCTTCATACCGTAAGTCTTAGTTAATATATATGTATTTTATAGTTCTGAATATAGATATTCTAGCTCATGATTTTTCATGTAAAGTATTCATCTCTAACGCTTTGGTTTAAATGTAGATTTACCCCCACGGTTCCACGGACACTCTACCATTCGCTACAATGGGTTCTGGTTCTCTTGCTGCTATGGCAGTGTTTGAGGCAAAGTATAAAGAAGGTCTAACTGTAAGTAAAAACAGAGACATTGATCTTTATATTACATGTCTTCTCTCTGTCTGTGTGTTTGATTCTTGACACAAATCCTCCAGAGAGACGAAGGAATCAAGTTGGTCGCTGAAGCCATATGCTCTGGTATATTCAACGACTTGGGTAGTGGTAGCAATGTGGATATCTGTGTGATCACAAAGGTGAGACTTTTCATTATGGTGTAGCTCGTTACCTGGCGTTTGAGAGATATTAAACTAACCGAGTGGTTCGCTACAAAAGCAACACTTATGCCTTTTACCTTTGGTATGAAACTTACATATTTGAGATGATTTTGGGACAGGGGCACAAAGAATACCTGAGGAATTACATGGAGCCAAACCCAAGAACCTATGTTAGCAGCAAAGGCTATTCATTCACCAAGAAAACTGGTAAGAAACTACTCGATTGTTTCTGGTTTTCAATCTTCGGAGATTAGGCGAGCTCTTGAAGTATTGAACTTGCTTAATTCGATCTTGTTACTGTCTATGAAAAACAGAGGTTTTACTCACCAAAATCACACCATTATCGGAGCGAGTCGAAGTTGTAGAAGTGGCTGGTGAAGCTATGGAGGAATGAATCTCAGTCATGTGACATCACTATTCTACCTTGTGTCTGCATCACATCTTTTGTACTTTGTCTACTATTTTTTTTTAAATCGAATTTTTTTTTTGCATCTGTTTCTTCTTTGGATTTGACTTGAGCCTATGGTAATGAATGAATCGGATTTGCAATTTAGTAGCAAGGAGATTCTCACATCATTTGAAAAGAACTTTTATTTATAAACACAATTGTTCCCGAAATAATCCTTTAACACGACTAATCATTCCTAATCTTTTTCTTCCTTGAAGCAAAGCTACTTGGTCCGATCTCTAATGACATTCTCTTTGTTCTGTACAAGAGACCAAAGTAGACAATTAGAGGTGATCACCAAAAAATCGAATCAAAACCAAATTATATACATACCTTTCTGAGAGCTCCTCAGATTCTTTGGCATCACAATGAGAATCTGTACTTAAAATCAAGAGCAAATCTATTCAAAGTTTTCAAAATGAGATGAAAGTGGAACCAAAACAAAACAAAACAAAAAGAGCAACCTTTGTAGTTTCCATCATCACTCTCTTGCTCTGACTCTGAACCAGAACTTGACTTAAGCATCCAAAAATCTGATTCATCGGAATCAGTATCTTCCTTAACGCGTCTTGGTTTGGTTACTTGTGTTTTCTCGGTCTTTCCACTTGATCCAGTTCCTCTTTCCACTTGCTCTATCAAATGTATCAACATCAAAAACATTAAAAGCCATCACAATTTGTCAATGAATCTTATCTCGTGTGTCTATTGACCTAATTTGTGAAGAAATCTTCTCCCGTTCACGTGTTTCCAGATATGTTCCTCATTCTTGTTCACAGTATCTCCCGTGAGCATGCACACGAGTTTCGAACTGAAAACATAAACCAGATAGAAAGCTTAGAACTTTAGACCATTTTCGATGCTGAGAAACTAGCCAAAACTTATTAAAAAATTGGAACTTTTAAGCATTTTCAATGCATTAGTTCTGAATACAAAGCATAAAATTGATAATATCTTTTTCTTTTCTTATCAGAAAACGATCAAAATTTACACCATTCATCCACTTTTTCTAGCAGAGAGAAACGTCATATAAACAACAAGGTTACACCAATAATTGCAATTCGTATAAAATTTGATAACTTGTAAAGCCTTAAAACTACTTGAATCTTGAAATTAATAAAATTGGTCAAGAATGATTCTAAATTGCACTCTTATAAACCTTAAGCTCCAATTTATGAACTCTGAAAAATTCAATTATATAATTTAATCTGCGCAGAGAGAAAAATCCAGAAACTTTGACTAACCGAGAAATTGGACATTGTGAGAACATGTTGAGAGGAGATTTCCCCTGAGATAAAGCATGATCGATGAGTCCCAAACGGCATCGTTTGTTACGAGCGTATGATTCTTCCTCTCCGGCTACAACCTCGTGACCGGTCTCGACGCATCTGAGCCGTCCGTTCCCTATATCAACGAACGTCGGTGAGCCAAACAGATTCGTCGACCCTTCTTTCGCCTTCTTCATCATCTCTTTCGTTCTTCGTCTCTGAGTTTTTGTAGACTCTCTCCTTCGTCTAGAAGGTCTCTAATAGCATAACATATTAAATTCTGGTTTTTTTTAACCGGTTTAATTGCTCAAGACGGTTTACTTGAACCGGTTTAAATTCTGGTTTGTATTGACATATTCGGCTATACAGTAAAACCTCTATAAATTAATAACGTTGAGACCATGATATTTTATTAATTTATCGTGATATTAATTTATCTAATTATTAATTTATAGAGAAAATTTGCTTTCCGCATATAATTTTCTATATTTTTTTTGGAATAATATTATATTTTAAAATTTTAACAAATCTCATAATATAAATTATAATTAAAAATCATAAATATCATAATAAAATAGTTTTAACACTATATTATATTTTCCATATAAAAATATACATGTTCATAACTTAAAAATTTATAAAAAACCATAGCTATTACCAGTATTGTTGCTAATAAAATTGAAGATAACATTATAATGCATTTAAAAACATTTACAGGTAAGAAAATCAATTATCACATAAAAAATTATCATAAATTTTGATTGTATATAGTAAAACAGCAATAAGAGCTACTGATATAATAAGTAGAGAGATAGGAACTAATGAGATTTCAACTTTAAGTAAAAACAAACACATTAGTCATATTTTAGAATATTATATTTACATATATTTACATAAATTTATATAATTATTAATTTATGTTTTTGTTGGGACCATATATTTACATAAGGGTTTCAAAAAAAATTGTCATCTTATTATCTTATCGAATTTGATGAATTTTTACATTGGCCCGACTTGGGACCAACACAATTTATTAATTTATAGTGATTATTAATTTATCGAATATTAATTTATAGAGGTACTTTGTAGCAGAAAGTATCATATAACCGATTTTTAATGTGATTGAAATAGAAAGAACTTGAATTATTATTGACACAACAAGACTTTCAAAGTCAAATCGGTATTAAAACAAAAACGCATTTCAAAAACTAACAAAATAGGAAAAAAAAATCAAAAATCAAAAGCACTAAAGTGTAAAAAAGTATCACATAACCGATTTTTAATGTGATTGAAATAGAAAGAACTTGAATTATTATTGACACAACAAGACTTTCAAGTCAAATCGGTATTAAAACAAAAACGCATTTCAAAAACTAACAAATGAAAAAAAAAAAAATTAAAAGTACTAAAGTGTAAAGAAACTCTAGCGGTCAACGTTCGAGACACCATTGACCGCCATAGTTTCTTGTTCAGAAGCATTTACGGTCATTTAGGATAACGAAAAGAGATGATGTCTCTTTATGAATGTTGTAGTCTGCTATTGTCAAGTCGTCTCTGAGCTCTTTTCCGGCAAGGATGATTCTTTGCCGGTACCATGGGATCCCTTCCTTGGTATTAATCATTGACTTGACATTGTTAATCGTATCAGAGCTTTCGACATCAAGAGTGATGGGCTTTCCGGCCAAAGTCTTGACGATAATCTGCATCGATCCACCAGAAAGAACATTCAGCACAAGGTGAAGAGTTGACTTTTCCTTGATGTTGTATTCCTCCAAGGTTCGAAAGTCCTCCAGCAGTTCACCAATGAAGACGAGTCTTTGCCTGCGTCTTGCGATCCCATGCTTGTCTTGAATCTTTGTCTTTACATTGTCCATGGTGTCTGAGCTCTCAACTTCTAGTGTTCTGATTTTACCATCGAGTGTTTTCACATATATTTGCATTCCACCGCGCAAACGAAGGACAAGGTGAAGAGTTGACTCCTTTTGGATATTGTAATCAGCCAAAGTACGACCATCTTCGAGTTGTTTACCGGCAAAAATAAGTCTTTGCTGGTCAGGAGTGATTCCTTCTTTGTCCTGGATCTTAGCCTTGACATTGTCAACTGTGTTTGAGCTTTCGACCTCAAGAGTTATGGTCTTGCCAGTAAGAGTCTTTACAAAGATCTGCATAACCATCTAGAAACAAACAAAAAAAAAAGCTTCATTACCACAACAAATTGGCCTTGTAAGCACATATATCAACCAAAAACGAGAAACCTTACTCTCAACCAAGGATCACATATTCAAACACAATAACAAAAGCTTTGTTAGCTCAAAAACAAAAGCTTTGTTAGCTCAAAAAAAAATGCCCTTGTAAGCACATATATCAACCAATAACTAAAAACCCTAATCTCAATTAAGGATCACATATAAAACCCTAATCTTAACAATTCCTATCCAACAGCAAAAATTTCAAGAAAAATACTCCAATTCAAGAGCATACCTAAAAACATACAATTCTAATTAACAACAACAATAATCGTACATAAATCTCTGAAAAACTAGCCATTGCAGTTGCAAGAAACAGAGAACACATTCAACAGATGAACATAAGAAATCGGAGAAACATATACTACCTTGTGACTAGTGACTTTTTTGTTTGTTGGTAAAAGGTTAAATTTGTGACTTGTGACTTGACAGAAGATTTCAGAAAAGTTTAACAGAGCTATTAGGTTTTTGCGAGTAACAAAAATTGAGTTACAAAAGTTCTGTTTATATATCCTTTGGTTATAATTCCAAAGGAAATAGGATTTCTAATATATATAATTAGAAAATCAGCTAAAAAATCTTACCGATCTAATTAGGAAGATTCTAGGTTTAACCGAATAACAACTAACCACAATTGAAGATATATATCAATTAAAATAAAATAAAAACAAACCAAGTTTCCTTTTCTTTTATTTAGTGACCAAATATAACCGAAACTTAGTTTAGTGCACTGAACCGATAACAAAACTGATCCAAAAACTAAACCAAAAACTGTTGCTATCTTCAAAGGAAGATGTAATCGTCAAAAGTGTCATCACCTGTTTGAAATTAACCGATGTGCAACAACGGATCTATTTACTCTAAGATTAGCAAAATTTCATTTATTTGTTTGTTGCTTTCTTGATAATCACATCACCCATTCCCAAAGTACAGTATTGTATTTGTCTGTTGTAGACATTTTTTTCTTTTTTTGAATCTAATACTAAATTATATTCAAAGAAAAAAACCAACGTTTTACAAAGTACTTTGATTGAGCTGTTTTTGGAAACTAATAAAAAAATGTATCAAAACATTTTGTGGTTTTTCATTGGTGCTCATCGAGTGGAAAACCAGTCTCTTAAACGTTCACTCCTATTTCAGTAGACTTTAGAGCCAAGTGGTTGCAGTACAAGCGGAGCAGAGAATACGATATATTTTGTTGTACTTGTGGACCTAGTAAACACAAATTTTATTTCAGAGACTAGGGACCTAATCGACTAGCTCGTACCTATCATACAAGTATATGTTATAGACATGGTCTATGCAGCGCAAGTGGCGCAGCTGCAGCCTTCACCACAGTTGCAGAAGGCCTTGCCCTTGGTGGAGGTCTGGGTCTTGGGGCAGGTTCAAGGGTTGCAGCCGCAATATGACTTTTTTGCTTTTTGGTTTGGATAAATATTACTTCTTCCACAGCTACACATATACACTCCAAAAAAAAATTGTAAAAAGATAATGGCACACACTTGTGCATTCAATATACTGTAATAAGAAAACCAAAGTCTTTGCGTTATCTCATGATGGATGAAAGCAATTTGATTTTTGAGAAAGAGAAATAACTGAAAGGCCACAATCTATTGAACTTCAGATATGAAACTCAATAATTTGTGTGATTATTAAAAAAATTTGGCATAGCATTTGGTCATCAACATCTAATTTACGCAGATGAAAGGTTAAGGCTTGGTTTACTCAATCGAAGTGAAATACTTTTGACTTGAGAAAACAGGGCATTGCATTGAGCGATTAAAGCTATGGGTGGCTAACCATTGCGGAAGAAATCTTTCTTTACAGAAAAATATTTTATGGGTGATAAAAAGTTATAATTAAACTTAAGTTGCCTTGTATCACAAGTTAAAGACACACTAAACAGCTTCATCTTCATCTATCAGTCGTCGTCAGAAAAGTTGATATTCTTACCGCAGAATCCACCCGGATTTTTCCTTTTTTGTATCCCTGCAGATTCGGTTTGGTCTCGAAATGAAGGCTTTCTTGTCCAAGGTTGTCTCCGTACAAAGACTGTCTTGTTGCTTACGGCAACTGCCTCAACAAAATTGGGAGTTTCTTTCATCAAGAAAATATTATGATTATGCAAGTATATATTCACCATTCTTCTTCTTCAGAGCCTTCTTTGCTTCGTTAGCAGAGGTAAACTCAAACAGAGCAATAGCCCACATGTTTGCCCTTACTGTCTACAACAAGTCGAATACGAACAACCTCTCCAACATATTTGAAGAAATATATCGATATTATGTAATATTTCAAGCAAATCAAGATTGAAATTGACCAATGTGCTACAACGGATTTGTTTACGATAACAAAGTAAAATTTGATTTATCTACTAAATATAAAATTTAAATTATCTACTAGATATAAAATTTAAATTGATCCTATAACTCAAATGGGCTTTCTAAACTTATAATCTGCGTCTCACACCGAGGGGTATCAAAAAATATAATCTAAAAGTTTATGTTATAAGTTGAAAAATTAGAACAACTGTTTAAAGCATACGGTATCAAAATAAATCGAACAAAAATATAATAACAATGTAAGATATATATATATGATCAAATTTAACAATATATATATATATATATATATATATATATATATGATCAACCAGAAAAATGTAAGAAAATAATAACAAATAATATTTATTTGTAGAAACTAAAGAGTGGAATGTAGATCATTTGTGTGATTATTTAAGTACTTGGGCATAGCATTTGGTCATCATCAATTAATATAAGCAGATGCAAGGTAAGGCTTACTCTTTGGTAATATTTCTGATTACTACTAGTGTGATGATATCTTATATTTCAGTTTGGGGAGAGAAATGGTCAACAAAGAGCGTCATGTTTTGCTTCCTCAACAAAATCGGGAGTTTCAGCAAGTCCTACCACTGTCTGCTTCACTGAGATTGAATTAGCCTGATCACTAATTTTTCTCCAACACGAGACTATCTGGTGGTTTATATTCCGGGAAGAGTTGAGTCGAGAGCAGCAATAAGTTGTAAATAACCCTAGCATTAGGGTTTTTTATTCGTATTTCGATTAGATACGCACGTTTAGCTTCTAATTCCTTGACTTCCAGGGAACTATAAGTTATCCTTCATTCAACTGAGTTACCATTGTGATTGTTAATTTTTCAATGATGGAATTTGTTTTTCTATTTAATTAGTCTTTAACGTTCAGAATATTTATGAACCATTTGCACATTGATTAAGCGCATTCATGTTAGAGAAGAATTTAAGCTAATGCGATCCCCACAAGAAGAGAGCCCATCCCTGAAGTGAGGGAACCTGCTTGAATATCCCTTACAGTTATCTCCCTCTTTACAACCTTCGATACTATAGTTTTAACGCAGCATGCATGGCAATCCCTGCAGGCCCTCAGGTTCTTCATCAAAACGATCGTAGACCCTTCTAGTGTACTGATAAGAGCAAATGCAACAGCTAAAACGTTCACTGTGAAACTCAAGTGACTCAATTATCGTCTGCTCATCTGTGTCTTGTCCTACGCAGCTCGTTTCAGGCTTTTACCCTTCTCTTTAAATCTCAGCTGTCAATTCATTGATTTTTCTCACGATCTCATCTCCTATGGGGTGTGTCTGGTCATTTGATGAGAACACGTGAAATCTTGTGGCTCGCTTTCTTAACACGTCTTAGAGCTTTCCCATTCCCCAGCTGCTGCATAGATGTTGGACAAGCCACCATAATCTCGAGTGAAGGGATTAATTAAGAATCAATTCCTTTGTTGGCGTTGTAGATGTTGACGAGATGGAGCTGGAGTTCATTAGTCACAGCACAATGTTCCTTGAATTCCAATATTGTGTATTTCCTTTTCCCTATCCAAATTAACAAATACAAAGTTATTTATAATGACGTTGATGATGATGATAGATGATGGTAGTACCTTTGTCATGGAGGCGAGAGAGGTAGAGTAGCCAAACATGTTGTTCATGTTGAAACATAATCAAATTTCGCCTAAGTCAAAGTCACATTTACATAAGTTAGTTATTAACTAAGAGTCATGTTCGTATAGTTGTGTCGTTTCACTAAGAGTCATGTTTGATTAAGAGTTGTGTCTGTTCAACACATTGTTTCACTTGTATAGATAGATATCGAGTCTGTGTTTGTAAAAATAAGTCAGTGTGTAATACAATCAAAGCAATAAAGGTTGATTACACTCATATTCTGTTTTTTCTTCTTTACCGTAAAACAGCAAACACAAATCTCTAACATGGTATATATCAGAGCATATATCGGTCTTGGAGACTGTTCAAGCACAATAAGAATAAGAAGAAATCCGCTGCGAGAAGAAGAGAAAGATCGAGATGAGAAACCAAAAAAAAAAAAGAGCAGATGGTGACAAGAGAAAGCACCATCCATCTGCACAAGCACATTCACATGCCATAACTTCAAGAGGAAGGCTCCAAAAGGATAAAGGAGATATGAAATCTTCTCATAAGGAAATGGAGACAATGGATGTGAACATGGAGTTTGGAAGGAGAATTCTGAAACTTTGTTCGAAGAAGCAAGCACAGAACGTAAAAGACGTGGAGAGTATTCACGCATAAGACGTCATGAAAATGTTATGATGGTGATCAAAGGAAGACACCAAGAAAGGAGGATGCTTACCTCATAAAAAAAATGGAGCAGACGTCAAGGAGACGTGATGTTGATCAAAAGAAAACACCAAAAAAAAAAAAGAAGGAGGTGCCACCTGTTGAAAAAGACAGAGAAGGCATAAAACCATGGTTGGTGATCAGAGGAAGACAACAAGCAAGGAAGGAGGCTGCTTACCAAAGAAGGGAGCAGGAACCGGTTTTAGAAATAACCGAAGAAGATGTGAAGAAAATTCACTGAGACATCCAAGTGACATGAGGAAAATTCTAGA